ATTAATAATTTTTTTAAATGATCTTTCTTATTTGTTTTCTCTGTCTTATTTTTCCTACTTCTCCATACTGAACATAACTGAGATCCCTAAATCAAACAGGGCTTGAAGCATGAAAGACAATAGCAACCTTTCCATTGGCATCATATTTTGCATTGTTTTTAGTAATTTACACTTTTCGATTCCAAATTCTACATGAACACAGCAGAGCTGGGAGCAGTCAGAATTTCCCTCATTCAGGCCTTACCTGAACATGCTGTGTCAACAAATGCTGCTCTATTAAAGAGAGGTGCAACGTAATGACAGCTATCTGTTACATACTGATAACCTTCATCTCCCACTGAGAAGGGTCAGAGAACGCCTAAAGCTTCTTAATCATAATGAAGAGCAGGAACAGTTTCCATCATAAAAGTATATAGTATTGGGGGACATTTTCAGAGTAGCTTTTGCAAATTGAAAACAAGGTCACTTTGAGTTTGACACAGAGCTCTGTCTATCTTTCCTATTTCTAGTGTATTGGGAGAAAACTAATCAAAGAAGAAAGTAGCCTTTTTGGTAGCACTCAGAACTCCACCTTTCAGTTGGAGGGAGGAAATGCAGAACTGCCAAGGGGGAACAGAAGTAATTCAATTGTTTGAAGCTCAACAGCAACTGCCGGATTCAAAGTCAGAAGGGTTGCACCCATTTTATCTGAATTGCTTTTGTCCGTTCCTAGTGACCCTGTTTTAATATGCACTTATTTTCCTGTACTACAGGACACCTAGAAACTTAACATCCATCAGACAGCTTCGACAGCAAAGTGGTTAATGTTTGAAGAATGAGTCATTCTTTCCTTTGCCATGATATTGGGTTCTTATTGTACAACCCTGTACAGTACTTTTAGCAATATTTTTTAAAGATTTAAAAAGCAAAGAGTTACAAAACCATTTGCAATTAACTTGAAATAGAAAAGATAGCACTTTTTTTAAATCCCATTATATAGTACACCGTATAAATTACAGAGTATTCAAATGCATAAATGCATCTGTGTAACATTTATCAAATGTAATTTTTTCATTGTTGTTGGGGGGTTATTTTTTCCAGAGTTTTTTCTCTTTGTCCTAGACACCCCCATCTCCCCTCACTATCACGTATGACAGTGCTCCAGGTCTGAGACGTTGCTGTTGCAGTATCGCATGTTGTTGGGGATGTGGCAGTCTGTGTAGTTAATGCCCCCGTTTGGGGTATAAATGGGCTGCAGTCTGAAATCTCCTTTAAGGAGCTGATCATTATTTAAGGAGACAATCTGGAAGCTGGTTTCCGTCATCTCCAGGATGGAGTTGTCCTTCTTGGTCCCTGCCTCACAGTAGTCATCTTTCCGACGGCCCCGGTTATATTTCCACTTCTGGGAGGTGTAACGCCCTTTTTTGTGCATGTGCCAGCAAAAAATGCTGAGCAGGACCACGAGGACAAATATCACTGCACCCCCAATCAACCCTGCCAGCAGAAACGGGGAGCCCAGGTTCTGAGAAGTTGTCTGCTCATGGCTGGAGGGGATGTTGCTGCCATTGCTCAAAAAGGAAGCCTTGGTTGTGGCTTCTGAACAGACAGTGTCTTCTCCAGTTCGGTAATTGTTATAAGTATCCAGTGGAACCAAACAAATGCGATAGGTGGATTTGGGCTCCAGATTTACCAAGCTTAAGTGTTGCTTCTCACCACTAACTATTCGTTCCTGAACAATTCCTCCCACCAAACTATGGCCCATTTTAACCCATGTGAGTTTATATGCCATCACGGTAAATAGAGACATCCAGTTAACTTGGATGCAAGTGTCATTCACAAAATGGATGGAGAGTTGAATCCGTTCGGATATAGGAGGTGTCACCCTTTCTCTGTCCTCCCTGTCAGGCACAGTGGGGAATGTGGCTACGGTGGGAGTGAGAGGACTATATTTGCTACTTGGGGGAGGAACTGATGAGGTGGGAACTAATGTAGTTGGCATGGCTGTAGCTGGGACTGGGGTGATGATAAGCGGCAGACCAGGGGTGGTGGTGGGGCATGACAACATATTCATATTGAGCTCCCTGACCGCCATACCTCGGACCTGCTCTGGTCCCTGGCACATAAAACCCCGTACATTGATGGAAGCGGGAATAAATTTGAGCCATTCAGTGACCCACTTAATACTGCAGTCACACAACCAGGGATTATTCCTTACAGTGAGTTGCCTCAGGTTGTGGAGATTATCAAATACCCCCTTTACCAACATCCGAAGTTGATTGTTGGAAATATCAAGACGTTCCAGTTTGTGGAGGTTTGAAAAGGCTGTAAGTGGTATATGGGTTATCTGGTTGTCCTGCAAGTAGAGCCTTAGCAGATGTGTACCTGGAAGATCGGGAGGAGGGTAGGTCAGTGAATTCCGCACTATTGAGAATTCCTTGAGCTTGGAGAGGTGGCTGAAGGTGCCTTCAGCTATGCCTTTATTAGTAAGGAGATTGCCATCCACAATCAGACGCTCCAGACTTGTAAGATTCTGGAAGGCTAGGTCTGAAATGACAGCAATTCGGTTTTCGTCTACTCGAAGTTCTTGTAAGTCCACTGGAAGGCCTACTGGTACGCTGCTTAAGTGATTCTTGGACAAGAAAAGAAGCTTGAGGCTTATGGCTTCCCGGAACGCCCCATCCTCAACGCCAACAGTGGAGATGGAGTTGTCATCCAAGTGCAGCTCTTCCAGCTTCAAAAGCTGAGCAAGGGCAGCCCGAGAAATGGTCTGAATGTTGTTTTCCTGCAGGTGAAGAACCCTGACATTCTTGGGCAGGTTCATGGGGAATTCATCCAATTGGTTGCCATACAGGTAGACTGTGTGCACAGACTGGACATTGTGCAACTCTGCAGGAAATCCAGCATTATTAATTTGGTTATTATGGAGGTAGAGGACGGTTACACCCTCCGGTATCCCAAGAGGCACTGAGGTCAAGCTTCGCTCATTACAGTAGACAAAGTTTCGGTCACAGCGGCACACTTTTGGGCAGGCGAAAGTTTTGGACACCTGCATGTAGACCCCCAGGGAAAAGATAAGCCATGATTTCATGAGAACAGCCCAATCTGTGGGCCACATTCTAGTCCACGAACCCATTTCTAATTTAAAGAAACAAAGTACCAAAGTGTTAAAGAACTAATAACAATAATAAAGCACAGGTAGCAAAATCTCAGGTCATTAAAATTGGCTTCTAATTATGTCCAGTGTTCAGGCCAGAGTTAAAGTCCTGGAGGGTAAGTATAAAATAATCCTTTTATAATTGGCCTACCTCCTATTTTTGATAAGAAAGCCACAGTCTTATTAGCCAGGGTTACAAAGTTTGTTGCCTTCCTCCATGTGTGCTGAAAGAAACAATAGCTGTGTCTTTGCAGGTGAGCAACAGGTTAATTTAAAGCTACCAAAAGTTGTCTGTGTATGAGTTGCTTTGAGGGATAATATTTCCTTTCACTGAAGTCTGTTGGTGTTACACTCAGCTTTCTGAAGTCAGCAAAGTCCTCATACCAGCTATCTGTCGGATCTGGCCTGCCTGTAAAAGAAAAGAGAAAAGAATAGCATGTAACATTTCATAGGGAAGATCAAGCCCATTGAAGACTATTCTAAGGCTGTGCTCTTTACGGATTTCGGGGGGGGGGAAGGCATTAATATTAAACATTGTTTAATATTACCGTTAAATAGTCTTGAAATAGATTTGGTGCAAAGTCATTGCAGTGATTGAAGGACTTTCAGTGGCTTCAGTGAAGGCTAGATCTATCACTTGTGTTTGCATATTGTACCTCCAGTCTTTGTCCTCTCATAGTCTGTTTCAAATACTAAAACTAAAACATTTTTCAAATGTAAAACTCCACCATTTAACTGGAAATTTTTCCTAGGAATTTTTTTTCTTTTGCACAACCACTGACTTCAATGAATGCTATTCACTGATGCCTGACAGAGTAGACGCTGGGCCTGACAGAGTAGACTCTGGGCTGTATTATTTAATCACACTCCATGTTTTTTTTAATTTCCTACCAGGCTCCGGAATGTTCTGCTTCTATTTCTGTAATGCCATTATGTATATTCTCCAGCTTAATGCACACTGCCGAATTATTGCACCTCCCTAGAGTGAATTAGCTACTTATGAGGAGAGTCTTTTAAAAAAGTATGGGAATCCACAAATACAAGATACCCTGCTGTACGGCATGTTTTTCCTAAAATTATCATCTCGATATTGTTTCTGATGTGAACTGTGCTGTCAACAGACTTCAGAATTAGCTTTCCACTAAATGAAACAGGCTCACATCTGCTAAGTTATTATTTTAGGATATCAGCTCAAACTACAGCAGTTCTGCAGGAGAGCGCTTTCTTTGAAATCATAAAGGTTAGATACTACATTTAATTCTGCTGCACAGTTGTCTATGAATGGTTACATAAATGGATCTGCAAGCTTTAGTATAGATTAGTCCTTTAATGTATATTTTCAGCTCTTAAGTGTACTTTTTAACTTTTACCTTCCCAGCTACTGTTATTCAGATCTATAATGAAACAATCCAGCTGTCTAAAGCATGTAATGAAAGATACCGATTGAATGATGTTATCTTGTCTTGTTATATGTTGTTTCCAATGGCTGAAAAAAATTGCTGCATTCTACATACTTGAACCTTATGAACGATATAAACCTAGACAAGTACCAAGCATGTGTAGATCTCAGGGTCTTGAACTGCGGTTACATATGCACAGTATTTTTCCATATTTTCATGGAATCATAGTTTGGGTTGGAAAGGACCTTTAAAGGTCATCTAGTGCAACCTCCCCTGCAATAAGCAGGGACGTCTTCAGCTAGATCAGGTGGCTCAGAGTCCCCTCCAACCTGACCTTGGAGATTTCCAGCGATGAAGCATCTACAACCTCTCTGGGCAACTTATTCCAGTGTTTCACCACCCTCATTGTACAAAATTTCTTCTTTATATCTAGTCTAAATCTACCCTCTTTTAGTTTAAAACCGTTACCCCTTGTCCTATTACAACAGGCCCTGCTAAAAAGTTTGTCCTCATCTTTCCTGTAGGCCCCCTATAAGTATTGGAAGACTGCGATAAGGTTTTGCCGGAGTGTTCTCTTCTCCAGACTGAATAACCCCAACTCTCTGAGCCTGTCCTCATAGGAGAGGTGTTCCAACCATCTGATCATTTTTGTGGTCCTCTGGATGTGCTCCAACAGGTCCATGTCTTTCCTGTGCTGAGGGCTCCAGAGCTGGATGCAGTACTCCAGGTGGGATCTCACCAGAGTGGAGTAGAGGGGCAGAATCACCTCCCTCGACCTGCTGGACAAGCTTCTTTTGATGCAGCCCAGGAATAGCATTGGCTTTCAGGGCTGCATGTGCACACTGCCAGCTCATGTCCAGCTTTTCATCCACCAGTACCTCCAAGCCCTTCTCCACAGGCTGCTTTCAATCCCTTCATCCATCAGCCTGTACTGATTCCAGGGGTAAATTTTGTTGATCCAGATCAAAACTTATTGGCTGGGATTTCAGGAAAACAGAATTACAGTTAACAGAAATCCTGTCTGAAAATCTTTTTTTTTTCCTTTATTTAAGCAGTTTAAGCACCATCCAGGCAATTCAGAAAGAAATGTAATTCAGGAGTACATGAAAGCTTGTTCTGCTACAGCTGTGCAGTTTATAAAGTGTCCCAAATGCTGCTTTTTGGGAACCCTTTGGACTGACAACGTAAAAAGTCTCTTTAGGAGTCAGACTGTTATAATCCTGCAACCTTGCATTTGTAGATTACTATTTGTTTGGAGCATCATCAGGTATCAGCCTCAAGGCTAGAACAGCTGGAGATAAAAAGCGAGACCCTGAAAAGTCCTGTAGCTTATCATTATGAATTCAAATGGTAAACGTACATATATTGTAATGCAGCCCATACTGTGTGTTGTCCTTTTCTAGAAACAGTGAGATTAGCTACCCCACTGCTCAAATTTTCTCTCTCGCAGGCATATTTCAGTCGAGTGGTTTCTTTTCAATTATATAAGATGACGTGATACTGTGGAGAAACCCTAACAGGATTACATTCTAACATGAGCCTAAGTGTGACAGTTTATCCGCCTTTAATATGGCCTGGCTCCCATCTAGATCATACTGCTCTGATCTGTCATGACACTGTCTTTTTAAAATAAGAAAGGACGTGCAGAACCTCCTCTGAGATGCTTGAGACCACACAGAGTAATAACAGTGGTTCTCTCACTCCCTTTCCATCATCAGAGTGAGGCAGTCTGTGCCTCCTAACAGGGCCAATACCCTTCACTGAGCTCTCTTTTGATTGTAAGTCCGATTGCTGATTAGGTTTTATTTGACTCCTGGGCATGATAGAAAGCCCAGCTGAGGATGTGCAGCCACAGGCAGCTGCACCTCCTGATTTTCTGGGAATCTCCTAAGGAGGGAATGTCGCATTAAAACTGATTTATGCATTCACCTTATTCTAGGACTCTGCCCAGAGTACCTATCACTAGGTAAATGTGGCACCTGAATAAAAGATTTCAGTAATGATCCTAGAAAATTGGGTCAAATACACAGCACTTATCATTAGACATTACAAAGAAAAGAGTTTTGACTGGACAGTCACTTAAGTATATCAGCACTTTGGAAGCTGGCGCTCGGAAGTTTATCTCCTTTTCATTGTTACATGGATTTTGCCTTTAGAAATCTGTTAAAAAATTCCTACTGTTTTCTCCCCTTATGATGGTGAGACAGGGAGTCCTTTTATTAATGCCAGTATCATAATCTCCAGCTATCAGTCCTTAATGAACTGATACTATAAAACTCAGTACAGAAAATATGTATTGGTAACTACTGCTGACTGTATTAAGCAAGAGCACAAGGACAAATCTAATTAGATAATTATGACTGTGGTGTGACAGAGGAAAGGAATGAGGAAGCAAGGATACAACTGAATGTGTTTAAATAATTATTTTGGGAAAAGCTTTACCTCAGTAGTCTTTTTTATCTGTTTAATAATAACTCATAGTAGTGGTCATAGTTACAGTATTTTTCAGCAAATCTCAGGGACCAAAAGGGATGCAAAAGTGAGTTGTGTCCCTGTGTTAGATATTTCTACCCCGAAGACATTGAAAAGATTGAAGAGTTGAAAGAAGCTCTGTGAAGGAAAAACATCCTCAACAAATTCCAGAAGGCTGAAAAAGCTGAAACAGTTAGTTCTTTAGCAAATTGCTAAAACTGAAGGCAGGTAGAGTAATTGAGAATTCTCCCCATCCCTTACATGTTTGCTTCCTAAAGCAAGTTCTCTGTTTTCAATATTCTTACAAGAACTGAACAGAGTTTCTCTGTGAAGGAACTGATCATTTGGAAGTGGAGGAATCAAGGGCACTCAATATCCTCAGCTTTCATGATTTTAAATCTTGGGAATAAGCTCATAAACTATAGATGGCAGTGACCTTTCTTATTGTGAAGGCAGAAAGTTCTAAAAACCAATCTAGGAAGAGAGGATGAGGGTAAGGGAATCTGTCACAGTTAACTTAAAATTAAAGACATCAACAAGCAAATACCTCAATAATAACACATTTGCCCATCATCACTTTGGTCATTTTTGTTTCCATTTCCTTACTCTGTACACTTGATTTCTATTATTTCTCACTATATCCTCCTTGGAGCACAAGCCACGTCTTCCAAGTGTCTAGGACATTTCCTGTCTTACTACAGCCAGGATATTAAATCCCATTAGGATTTAAGGAATGATATAATAAAGTTGAGAAAAGCACATTGAAATAGCTGTGAACATATACACACGTTTTAGGTGGCCATGTCTGAAAATTTGGCTTAGTGGCCTGAGTTCCTGACATCAATGGAAATGTTCTCTTTTATATGTTAAGAGGATTTTCTGAACAATTTTTTTATCTCACTGTCTTTTTTCAAAAGTGTCTTATTTAAATTTTCTTTTGGCATGACTAACGCTAGCTGGGGAAGAACAATTCTGGCTTTGTGTACTTGTTTTATTAGTCTTCTCTTCACTGGTCAGAAGCATCCACAGAACCTCAAGCTTTAGTCACCTTGCTGTGCATAGCTATGAAATAGTTTAGCCTGAATAAACAAACATGTTTCAATAATTAGT